CTTCCCTCATTCGCCTTTTCCAAGTAGCAAAGCTTGGGAGATCCCCCCAGCTCCCTCCTCAGGCCTGATCCCACCAGCCACACATGTCTGGAGACCCCCAGGACCAGCGTGCATAGGCAATCATGTCATCCTGCTCCACATCTGTCCCAAGGAGCCAGGGAGCCGCCATCCGGCTCCTCCCTTCCCCAGGAAAACCCCTGCTGCATGCTTGGACACGGGCTGGCGCTGCCGGCCTGGGGTTGGCACTGACCCGAGCGCCTGCAGGACGTGAGAGCACACACGGACAGCAGCACACATCCCCCATTTCAGCCCACGAGCAAGCCTGCAGCCGTGGGGAGGAGCTACTGACGGTGCTTCACCCCCAGGCCACCTCCATCACCAGCAGGCAGAGGGACACGTTGCAAATAGGGCAGATCTCAGTCCAGCTCCGGAGCCAAGTAGGGAGAAGCCCAGCAGATAAAGTTTTCTACATGCCTACTTCACCCTTGTAAAGGCTGGAGATAAGCAGGGAAACACTTGTTTTGTCAAGGGGACTAACCCCTGGGATGTCCGTACTCAAAGAGCTGCTGCTTCTCGCCCTACCTACATTTCACAGGAACACTGATTCCTGAAGAGGAATAAATGGATTTGCATGGCAAAACCCTGCAGTACAAGATGGAAAAGCTTCATATTTGCTAGAGGAAATAAGAGATTCCTGGAGAGCAGAGAAGGCTGGGTGGTATGTGTCGTGGGGAAATGCCCGAGAGGGGATCTTGGTCCCAAATGCTACGAGGGAAAAGGCCTGGATGAACAGGATAGATCTAGGGAGCCCCGTATGCCATACGGGTGGGGTAAGCCCACAACAGAAGTGTAGGAGGAATCCTGGTGCTGAACTGGTTGGAAGTTTGTGTGTGGGAGGGGAAGAGGGTTTCTGAGGGGGAAAAGCCAGTGGGGAGACAGCAACTGCAGAGACCTCCAGCTCAGGAGCGTGGAAGGGAAGACATATATAGGCAGTGCCAGTCATGCTCAAACTTGCAAACACCAAACTTTGCCGTTCTGTGGTCTCCAGGGGGTTTTGCAGTATTACCATTTCAGTTTGAAAAACCAAACTGCTGGGACATGCAACACACAGACCAGCACTCATACAGACTGGCAGACCCAACCACCTCTCAGAGAGCTGTGAGAGGCACCAGGCACATCCTCTTCTGCACAAAGGCTGGAGTAGGAATTTGGGTGCTCTGCCAGGCTGTGTATTATTTGGGAAATACAATGTACTGAGATGCAGATGCAAAAAAACAGATGGTCAAGGAAGGCTAATAAGAGCTTGCCTTGCGCACAGCACACGGAAACACTGCTGGGTCAAGATACCCTCTGGAAGAAATTTGGGATGCAAGCTGGGAAGGCTTCGTTGCTCCGAGTTCTGCTCCTTGCAGGGTAGCAGAGCTTGTCATGTGCTTGTGAATAAATCCAATCTCCTTGGGGGAGGAAGAAAGACATCCAGCTCCGTCACCCATCGCCTCCTAGCTTCCAACCCTAACTTCCCACCGAGTCCTAGATATCAGGTCTTCTGGCTGCCCCTGCCAAGCCAACCCTGGATTTCCAGGGGATGCTTTTAGCTCATCACTTCCACCCACCCACAATACAACCACCACCGCCAGCACAGGAAAAGCCGGCTGACTCCAACCAATTCTGTTGTGAGAGAGCTCCTGATAGCACTTGGGGCAGATGAGGCAGCCTACTTAAGGGTCGGGCTCTGTCCTACCTCCCACAAATCTCCACAGCATTTCAAAATAAGCACAACGGTTGGGCCTCTCTGAAGTTTGCCTTGTGGGCTTTTTCTGTTTGTTTTTTTGGAGCTGGGAGAGTTCACATTCCCAAGCTTTTCCCTGCAGCCATTACAGCAGGGTTTATTTTTTTAATAAAAAAGAAGAAAGCCAAGCTTTGCATGTAATCTCAGTTTCCCTGAGCAGAGCTTCAGCCCCAGGCACTGAACAGGGTGTTTAGAGGAGGCCAGAAGAACTGGCACCTTTGTGGGCTGGAGTTTTCTGTAGCCCAGCTTCTTCCTTTCCATCCCAAAGTCTCAATCCCAGCTTCACCTCTAAACACAGTAAAACGTACCAGAGAGAGTCCATTTTATAAAGCCACCTCCTATCTTATTTGAAAGCAAAAAGTAT